AGCTGACTTGAATATTTCTGGTGACAGTGACCTCACTGCCACACAAGATGCCTTTTCCATTTTTGAAATTCCCTTGATAGGCCCCTCTTCTGTTTATCATTAGACCAAAGCATTTTTGAGCCCAAATTTTTTCCTTCCTGGATATAACAGCCCTTCCTATTTGAATGTAAGTATTAAGTTTCTGCCTGAAATCTCCCTTCTGAGCTATATACTCTTAACCAATTCAGGTATTCTCTAAAGAAACAGTTTGCTGACCCCACAACATCCTGACTCCCTTCCCTGGGGCCACTCATATCCCACTCATTCCATAAACTGTGACATCAGCATCTACACTACAAGCACATAGGCCACAGGAGCAATGGTGTTCACACTTTTAAATGATGTGAATTCACCAGTTTGTGGTAGCACACACCTGTAATCCCAGAAACTCAGGAAGCAGAGGCAGAAGGATTGCAAGTTCAAGGCCAGCCTCAGCAACTTAGTGAGGCCCTGTCTTAAATATAAAGAGCTGGGGATATAGCTCAGAGGTAAAGCAGTCATGGGTTCAGTCCCTAGTATTAAAAAAAAATAAAATCATATGGGATCTGTTTTCAAATGAGACCTTATACCTTATACGGATCCCTAGGAGAAAAATGGAACCCCTGGAAGTGTGCTAACTGCGTCCTTCCCCATTTGATCCCTGCCCACTTGCTGCCCACCTCACTGTTCTTTGAGGAGGACATAATGCCCTAAGAAACCTTGAAGCACATATTAAAATCACTGCACAGCATGGTCTCTCAGTTTCCTACAAGCTCTAAAATTCTTAAGGAAAAAATATATATTTTTCACATGAATTGTTGCCATGGAGTATAACACAAACGTAACCAAGGACAGTTCCAGCCCCAGCTCTACCACTTCATGCATGTGCAACATTGGGGGAAATTTCGGTGCTGTTTCCTCATCTTCAGGTCAGAAAAATAATTGTCCTTATCTCCCATGGGCATTGTGAGAATGAGATGATTCAACACAGAGGGAGCCGTAAGAACAGTGCCTGGTGCTCAGTAAGCCTCACATTAGCTGCCAGCTCAGGCCTCCTCCATCTTGACTCACCAAATTAAATTTCTGAATGTAAACTCATGACATTAATCTTTTCTAAATATAACCTTTTTTATGCCTGGCAAGGACCCAGCAGTCAGGTTTCAGGCTCAAGATAACTTTGAATTTGATTCCCTCATCTTTTCCATTACCTGTCTCTCCCAGGACTGGGGCACCTGCATTCTTGGTAAGTAAACCTTCTGGGCTTTCAACCAGGTCACCAGTCTCTTCCCAAAGGTCAGCTTTCACTTTATTAGGTGGCCATGGCTCCAAAGATAACACGGCAGTACTTGGCCCCATTGTATATGGAAATCATAAAGGTAATAATTTGTTAAAACATAGTAAGTCCCAATTTGGACCTTCAAAAGTCACACAATCTGAAGATAAAAGAAGAAGGGAGCATATTGTTTATCACAGTGAATTAGAAGCATGCCAGATTTCAGAGACCAGGGACAACCTGAACTTTGAAGCTGCTCAGTCGATTTTGGAATTGCACAGAAAACAAAATTTGAAAACCCCGATTGATAAGTCAGAAAACATTCAGAAAATCTCTGAGTAGAAATGAGCTTCTGTTTACTTCAGGGGTCGATTCAATTAAAAAACCCTTTCTTTGTACCAAAGAGATAAATCCCAGCTCCTAACATGGTTCACAGCATTTTGCACAACTTTGACCCACCTGCCTCTTTCACGACTGTTGCCCTCCTTCCCAGAAAATACCCTGAATGTCCCTTCCTGTGCCCTCTGACTTGCTGTTCCTTCTGCCTGTGGACATGTCCCCTTCCTCTCCAGGACATACATGCCTTTCTTGGGGACCCAATTACAATATTACTTCTGTAAAATTTACTCTGATCACCAACTCACTGCTCCTTTCTCTATATTTCCATTGAATTCTGTATTTCCTCTTTTCAACCCTCATAATTTATTATTGTTTTCCATCATTTCCAAGTGTCTCTCACAAGCCACAGCAACGTAGGAGACATTGTATGATACCTAACTGATCCCCTCCATTTCAGACATACTCTATAACTTTCATAAAATTGTAGAGAATGTTCTAGGTCTTACCTACCTCCAATACCATCGTTTCTATGGAAAAATGTGAACACTGTGCTAAATTACAGAATTTCAAGTTATCTTTGGGGGTGACCCCCACACTTTTTTTTTTTCATTCAGCAAATGTTTGTTGAGCACTTATTGTATGTCAGGCATTCGTCTCTCCATACGACATATACTTGTAAGCAAATTATTCCAATATTTTACCCTTGTGGACCTTCTATTCTGGTGAGGAAAATAAAACAGTTAAGGTATGTTTAATAATAAGATATGTTTTAAAATGATCATGGTAAGGAGAAAAAAAATCATGCTAAAGGAAAAGAAATATCAGAAGGAAAGCTGCAATTTTACGTAAGATGATCAGGGAAGGCCCCACTGAGGTGGTCCTTTAGACCAAAGTTCTGAAGGAAAGGAAGAATGGTTCCACGTAACCAGCTGGGCCTGGCAGAGGAAACGAGGTCAACACCTAGTACAGGAAGACGGCCTGGTATGTTACAGAACAGCAGTGTGGCAATGTGGCCAGAGTGAGAACAGGGTGGGAAGAGAAGTAACCAAGAGCCAGGTCACGCAGAGCCCTGTAGGTGAGCATGTCGGCTTTGGGGTTCAGCCGGAGGAGATGAAGGCCAGTGAGCGGGAGAGGCAGAGGAGCAGCAGGATCTGTTGTACACTTTCACAGTTTTCTCTGGTGGCTCTGATAAGAATAGGCTGGGGTAGGGATGGATACAGACAAGACAAAGTTAGGAAGTTATAGAATAATACACATAAGACACAATGAGGATGGTGAGGCGTGGTCAAACATTTGAAGAATTTTTCAAGATTTGCTGATGGATCAGATGAGGGTCAGAAGAGAAAGAGAAATTAAGGTTATATCAAAAGTTTCTTTTTTTGTTTTTGAATTATCCTAGAAATTTAGAGAATGAAGTTGCATTAACTGAAATGAAGCAAGGTATAAGAGAAGCTGATTTGGGGAGAGATCTAGAGCCTAATTTTGGAGATACAGTTCACAATCCCCATCAGACCTCCAAGTGGAGATCTTAGGGAAGCCATAGTATATGCTTGTCTGGGTCAGGGAAGACAACCAGGTTGGAGAAATGACTCTGGATGATCTCAGCAGAGAGGTGTTATTTGAAGACTTGACTCTGGACTAGATTCAATATTGAGTAACTAACTATAAGTAGAAATAAAGAGGAACAAGGGCTCAGTTCTGGGTACTCAGATATGAATGAGGGAGAAAAAAAAATTGGAGAAGCCAGAAAGTGTGGGGGCAAAGAGGGAGATTGAGAAGCAGCACTTGGAAAGGTAGGAGGAAACCCAGCTCGGTATGGTGTCTTGGAAACCAAGAGGAAAAAACTTGAGAGAAGAAAATCATCAACTCTGCCTCAAAGATTGCTTCAAGATTGCAAGATGAAGACTGAGAATAACCATTACTAAGCAACACGAAAATCAAGGGTGACCTTGGAAGGCACAGTTTCAGCAGAACAGAAGGACTAAAGACCTGATCGGAGTACATTCAGGTAAGGCTAGGAGGAGAGAAATTAAAGTGGTTAAAGAATTAAAACATTTTGTGTAATGAGAAGGAGGTAATAGAGAGTTAACTATAATGAGAATTGGGGCCAAGAGAGGTTTTCTTTCTTCATTTCAAGCTGAAATAAACAATGGAATATCTGTGTACTTAGAGAGATGATCAGTAGACAGAGAAGACAGATCATGGGGGAGAATGGGGGGAGTCGCTGAAGTGTCATGGAGCAAGCTTTAGGAAATGTGGCAGCATAGGCCACCCAGGAGTCATGATACGGACAGAATACAGACAATGGCCAGACACTGGAAGGTCACGTGAGCAAGTTACTGAAGGAAGGATGTGTAATGAAGCAAGGGTCAGGGCTGGTTGGAGGACAAAGACAAAGTCAAACATACAGAGGCCAAACACAAATAAGAGGACCAGAGTCGGAGGACTAACTTGAGACCACATCCCAGAGATTATCATATTGGTCAGGAATCTCCCAAGAAACAGAACCAATAAATCCACAGTCACAATGTTTTAGTCAACAAGAGACGGCATATACAATGGAGGTCCCATAACATTACGTGGTCTAGTGATAGCACAGCCCTCTTCACTTAAATATACTCTATGACACTTGCAAGACACAATTGCCTAATGACACATTTCTCAGATAAAATCCAATTCTCAAGGGCTGCATGACTGCATAGAGACATGCAAGAAGGAATTTATAATGGGACTTGGCTCAAACAATGATGGAGGCAGAGGAATCCAACCATGAAACATCCAAAGGCTGGAGGACCAGGGAAGCTGGGAGGAGGTCAATCTGAGCCAAAGACCTGAGAGGCTAGGAAGCAGCTGGTCAAAGTCCCAGAGCCAGGTCTTCTTTACTGGGTCAACTGATTCTAATGCTAATCTTTTCCAGAAACACTCTAACAGACACACCTAGATATGATATTTTACCGCTATCTGTTCATTAACCCAGTTGAATTGACATTTAAAATCAACCATCACAATTACTAGGTAGTCAAAGCCAAGGAAACCAGAAAACAAGCATTGGATATTGGACCAATGATATGGCACAGAGACCTCTCTGTTGGGCCAGGATTCCTTTTGAGGGCCTGCAATCCTATCAACAGATTTTCTTCTTCTAGTTCCTAATCTGATGGCCAATACATCTTTTTAGAAATTACCTTTATATTTGTGCACAAAAAAAGCACTACTGAATGTGTGATATACCAAGACCTCTGAAATTAAGTCTCATTTCCCATTAAGTCTCATTGATGCTTCCAAAACCCACAAATGAAACTACACCATGATGAAGGGTAGGGTGGCAGACTGTGTTCACCAAACGGTTCTCAATTTTCCAGGCACTCACCTTCTTGTCTTTCCTGCCTCCGTAGATCTATTTGAGGTCATGTGACACAGAATGTATTGGAGTTGCAAGAAGGACACTGGGTCTCTGAGTCCCCGGGTTCCTGGCAGACATTCACATAGGAGGGCAGGCCGACAAGCATCAGGTGCTGATAAGGACAAGAAATGAAATATCTTGGTTATATTAAGTCACTGACTTGTTTTCTCCCAACAGCATAGCTTGACGTGACCCTGGCAATGCAGACAGGCTGAGTGGGGTAACAGGTTGGCCTATAAATGCCAATCTTTTCAGTCATTGCCAGCTCCACAGATGCTTAAATAACAAGTTCCCTTAGGATATAAACATAATTTGATCCACAACAATTTGGTTTTCATACAGCACATCTGGTTTTCAGGAATACATCTGTGTAAATTGAGTTACCTCTATAATGACATTGTATTTGCATCTGAGAAACCGGAACGACAAGACTGACTGCAGGTTAAATAAGAAGTGCCTAGGTCTATCTCCATTTGCTCTCCAAGTTCCTGTGATAACGTATGTAAACACCCTGCTGGTAATTAGATTCTGAGTTCTTCTTTGCAGTAATGATCCAGGTGGCATTAGAATTTTTAAAGCATTTTTTCCTATAAGGTTACAGTATACAGTTTTTTCATTTTTAATTAAACCACTGCACAGTGAATAGTGCACCTTATTTAGAAGTTCAGATCTTTCCAGAACCCCCAACTCAGCTAAGAAAGCCAGTCCAGCTGATTCAGGCAATTGTGTTGCCTTATAAAATACTGTCCCCAAAGACTCCTTTATCCCCTCTCAGAGCCAGCACACAGTCAATTATTGAGGTTCCTACCTGTGCTGCTCGGTATGCACTTTCCACCCCGGCTCTGCCCCTATTTATCTGCTCAGTAATCACTTTGCTATTTTTGATGCTGGGGTAGGACTGTTGAGGTGTCTGTTGGGTTTTGTTTGGTGGCTTAACACTGAGGGAGAAGAGAAATGATGGCAGCAGGCAGTGTTTGGGTTTAGACCAAGCCACCTCGCCCAGATGTTGAAGAAGAGGTTGCTGGAATGCGTCCTGCATCATGAACCTCTTATTCAAAGTATGTTCTACTTCATTGATAACATGACAGGATTTTATTAGCCAGAATTTATCTCTACTGGTTCTTTTATCACTGGCAGTAAGTTTCCATAATGGCATCACTGTCCCAAATATTTGTTTAAGGGCTTAAACAGTTTCCAATGCATGCTCCTTTATTTAATCTACAGCGGTTCCTGAAAGAGCACCCCTAGGTGTTAGATGAAGCAGCTTATGCCCCCTGTCGTATTTCACATTTTGTTTTATGCTTTGGTAGATTTCACAGCGATCTCTTTTTAGCCAATAAAATCTGTTTTAGGGAAGAAGACACATTCTTTCTAAATAGTCAGACTGCAGAGAAAGAATTCTGTCATAAAACCTTTTCCTAGGACTATACATCAACAGTGGGTCCTGCAGACCTTGAAAAAGAGTAGGGCCTCTTATTGTTGGGCCTCTTAGGTTGTTCTCTCTCTCTCTCTCATGGTCTCATTTCACAAAGCAACTGTAGCAGGATGGGAGGGATGTTTGACCTGGCCTCAGTTTATCTCCATGTAAACCCTGACTCTGTCCCTTGCACACTAAGAGGTTTGGACAAATCCCTTTGACTTCTCTGAACCTCATCTTTCTCATCTGTGAAATGGGGCCAGCAATACTTGTTCACCAAGTTATTCTAAAGAGTCAATACAGTACCCATGCAAAAGTGCCTAGCACTGAGCCTGGGCCCAAAGAGGTATACACACACACACATAAAAATATATATAATCTCCAGGATATACACAACCCATCCGGCATGAGATAATGAGTTACATGAAGTCTCCTAAGGTGCAGTGATATGGAGAAGTCCTAACAGGTTGGCAGAGTTTCTGGCCATTTCAGATTTGCCTGGTGTATGCGGTTATGCCCACCACCCCTCCAGGGCTCACTTCCCTGTAATCAGGTCCTGATGTTCAACTTGCTGCTGTTCTGCTGGGAGCACCTTATGTTCCTCCCCACCCAAGAAAACCACCATGGACTCCCCCTCGGAGCTGTGCGCTGCTCCACCAGCTCCCTCTCTTCCTTACTCAATGGCCACAGGTACAAAGAGAGACCTCCATTTTAACTCAGGTGAAAGCATTTGGGACTGAAGTAAGGATGGCATGGATCCACTTACTCATCCTGAGACAATTTACTTGGGGGGAAAAATGTCTGTGGGGCAAAGGAGTGTCCTCCAAACATTCCCTGTAAGAACCCATTGGGTGCCAAGGTCAGGGACTGGAAGAGATCCCTCAGATTCAGGGTGTCAAGGTTCAGCCACAAATAACACTGAGCCCTCCCCGTTAAACCCACAGGCAAGAACCCCCCAACTCAGGGAGGAAAGCCAGTCTAGCTGGGGAAAGCACTCAGCATGACACACACCGAGGTCTAACACACTCCTAGCTGACACACATTCCCCTCGCCCAACGAAACGAAATGGGTGCCCCATTCCCCTCATACCTTGTGGGGTGGGAAATGGGGCAGCAATGACTCCCATCAAAACCAGTTGAAATAACTCATCACCTCTCCTTCTCGCTGTTCTCCACCATCGAGGCGAGTGGGTTTCAAACTGTGCCAGCTGTAACCCACAGTTAACGCTTTCACCTTGCAACCAGAATTCATTCTCCTTCTCTCTTTCTCTCTCTCCCGCCCTCCCTCCCCCCTCTCTCTCACACACACACAATCAAAAATGAAATGCGACAATTCTTACCTTTACTATATACAATATACTTTATTTTATTTTCAAGTCTATTACATTCTATTTCATTTTTAATGTTGGTCATGACCTATCACATTGATTTTATGACTCACTAATGGGTCACAGCCTGTAGTTTTAAAAACACTGATCCAGGTATTTAATAAGGAGCTACTAGCCTGGAAAAGAAGTAAATGAGGATCATACTTTAAAGAACTCGGAAGATTTCAGTTTTGCTACAGTTATATGAAAAGTTCTTAGAAGATAAATGTGCTTTAACTTATCCCTCCTAATAAATACATCTAAACATCCTAGAAATCACATATAAAATAAACAGACGAAAACTCCAAAAGGCACAGAAAAGAAAGTGGCCTGGTGAGGGAACTCAGGATGAAGGAAGGAGATGCTGGTGAGTTTCACCAGCATCTCCTTTGGGCCCCACGTGTGCCAGACGTGGAGCAGAAGAACAGGGCCACCTGGAAATGCCCCCAAGCGCAGAGAAAATCAGCTCTAAAAGACCAAGGAGAGGGGAGCCTGCCGAGGAGGGGAACAATCACAGTTCCCTGCCACATACAGCAGCTCAAGCTGCGGCCCCACATGCCAGCGAAGGCCAAGTGCAAAGCCGGGGCGGGCTGCAGAGGGGTGCCTCACCTGGGGCAGGGAGCCAGAGCGGGCAGGGCCGGATGTCCGTCCCCCCTGATTGGTTGGTAGAGTCCCCCCCCGCCCCCCCGTTGGTCTACAGTGTCCATGGAGATGTTGTGAGGAGCCTGGGCTTACAGAGCCACCAAGGGCACCCAAAAAGCCCTGCCCTTCCCTACTGGAGCGGGTCAGGGCCTTGTGGAGACTCAAGACCTTCGCCACCGCCCAGGGGTTACAAGGCCACACGTGGTGTCAGAGGCCCCACGAGAAGTAGAGGCCAGGCCTCCTGCTTTTCACAGCAGAGGAGGCTCAGAAGTGAGCCAGAACGCCCTTCCCTCCCCAGCCTTGACGGGGGCCTCCCCATCAGGGGTCCCTTGAGACTGAATGAGGAGCACATGGCAGTCATGAGTTAATGAACCCCTCCTCCTCCACAGGCCATGGCAGGAAATCAACTAAAACCAGGATTTAAATGAGATCTCGAGTCACAGAGCATGATGCCCCAAAGGTCCAGGTTTAAATTAAAAAACTCACAAACCAAGAAACAGAAAGATCTCAAGCCGAATAAAATGAAAAGGGTAATTAATAGATGCCACCGTTGAGATAACAGAGATGTTGGAATTATCTGGCTAAACATATTTATTTATTTACTGCAGTCCTGGGAATTGAACCCAGGGCCTCGGGTGTGCCCGCAAGTACTCTACCAGTGAGCCCCAGCCCCAGCCCCAGCCCCAGCCCCAGCACCTCTTAAAGATCTTAAAGTCATCATCATAAAAGTGCTTCAGTGGGAAATTACAAACATGCTTAAAAGAAATGGGAAATGTAAATAAATAAATAGAAGATACAAAGAAGAACCAACAGAAAGTTTGAGAACATAGTTAAGTTTAAAATTTCAACTACATAATGGATGAAGCAGAGGAAAGAATCAATGAAATGGAAAGTAGGAAAAAAAAGAAATTATGTCATACAAGCAGAGAGAAAATAAGACTGAAAAGAAAAAAGAATAGACTAAGGGAACTGTCCACTATAACAAGATACCTAGAATCCATGTGATTGGAGTCCCAGAAGAAGAGGTGAAGGAGGGAAGGACTGAGAAATACAGAGAGAAATAATAACCAAAAACTTTACAAATTAGGCAAAAGAGAGAAAGCTGCATATTTAAGAAGCTAAACAATACATCCTAACTTAGCTAAATTACAAGTGTGTTTATCACAGGATGCAACAGTGGTTCAACACAGGAAATCAAGCATGTAGAGCTCCACATTCAGAAAACAGGGTGAGGAAACACGTAATTTCAATAGATGCATAAAAAGCATTTGACACAATTCACCCTTTCATGATAAAATATTCAGAAACTAGCAATATAAAGAAATTCCCTCAGTGAAACAAACATAGGGATTGGGCGGGGGGAACCCTGCAGCTAATGTCATATTCAATAAGAAAAGGCAAAGCTTTGCCCCAAAGTTCAGGATGTCTCCCCCCCTCCCCCCTCCCCCCCACCCGTTTTTCCTTCTTTCTTTCTGATTGGTGCATCTCCACTATAGGGAACAGTGAGTCTCATCACGGCAATTTCACACTCAGGTAAAAACATAATTTGATCAATTTCACTCCCCACTACTCCCCTGCTTACCCTCCTCCCCCCTCATCCCCTCTATCTTAAGGATCACCCTTCTACTTTCATAATGTCCCTTTTTGTCCTGCCTTTTTCCCCTCTGGCTTCCACATATGAA